CGTAGACATTTATATCCTGTAATCCATAACAGACTGTCAGTTTATAAGTGGTGCATTAAAATGATCACTAATCATGGTCATCAGTCAAAAGTTAAAACTCAACATGGTCTGGATCAGTGCCAAAAGAAACATGAAACAAGATGGAATTTCTGGCAATCGATCACTTTGCTTAAAAGCAAATATTATACACAACAAACATGATTCAAGCTGTAATTAATTACACATTCAGATCCTGTCAGTTGGAGGAGTGAACATAACCTTTGGCAACAAGATAAGTTTTTTTTCAAAGATAATAAAACAGATGTACATTGTCAAAGCAAATAATTTGTTTCAGTCACTCCACACATACAATCCTAACACTTCTTATCTAAATAAATTCACTGATGCTGTTATCTTTGGATGAAATATTCAGATTTTGTAAACCTACTTGAGTGACCACTTTTTTTGAGTAAATTTAGACATGTAGCTATCATGTGAAAACAAAAACAAACATACACAACATAGACATCTGTAACAGCAATGGTATTTAAATAAATAAAAACTGGCTTGTTGGTTGACGTGCGCTTTGAAGGTTGCTGAAGTGTTTACAAAGACAGCAGTTATTGTCAGGCATTGGTCCTTCAATATCAGCACAAGAAAGAACATCTTTGTTAAGTCGTTTCGCTTTGGTCATTCATGCAGATTGAACCGAGGTGGCTCGATGTGATCGATGTGTAATTACAAACAGCAAGACAATGTGGCAGAATCAGCTGAGTGACAACGGCATTGTTAGAGCTGTGTGTTTCAGCGTGTAAGCACACACACACACACCTACCTCTGTACTTACAAACTGGATGCTAATCAACAAGCTTCTGTTTTAATGAGCAGAATCTGAAGGGCCTGCTCACAACTGGCAAGTGTTGGGTTTCTGAAAAAGTAAATGAACAAATGAGAAATATCTGCCTCCATACTGAGTGATGTCCAAAGGTGAACACAAGAAAATATTAATAAACAATTCTTCAGAAGAGACAACTTGAGCTGGTGGGAGGAAGCATAAACTGGAATAAAGAAAAAATAAAGCAAAATCTCCCACTTTTGCATCTAAAATGCTGAAGCCAAAACAGAGTCATCAGCTTTTTCTCAAACCACTAAACTCTGCTCTTACATGAAGCCTTCTGTAAACTGTACGCAAAACAAAAGTCTCTCTTTTTTTTTCCTCCCCCAGAAAAATTACATTAGTTTAAAGCAGTGGTGTCCAAACTTTTTAATGTGCGGCTCAAAATTGTCAAGTTGAAGTTAACGGGACAAAAGAATTAGAATTTTTGATTTTAAAAAAAGTAAACATAGATTTTGTTTAGTTATTTTTTAAACATTGTAGTGAAAGGACAAACATAGATGTCTATGGTCTTTTAATAGTCAATGAATTTTGGAGAAACAGAAGTTCTAAGTTGTTGTATATTTAAAACATGTAAAGCTCCAGAAGCACTTAGGCCTACCTTAAATTTTAACTGGAAAAATGCAAAAGTTCTTAAACTTAAACTTAAAATTTGATTTGACCTCTCAGAATACAAGATCAGTCAAACTCACTGCAGTCATTGGACGATGTGAGCCAGCTCGCATCTAAACACATGACAGGAAGTAATGATAGTGTTCACATAAAGTCACTCAACTTTTTAGTGTCAGAGCGGACATGCGGTGAATTTCAGCACACTTTCAGCTCCACACCGACTTGATGTGGCAGTTGTGCTGAAATACGTGGGTTCACCACAGAGCAAACGGCATTGTCTGTTTTGAACACGACTGGAGCTTGAATGTGAACCAGAAAGCTTCTTTTATGAACAAACAAACAAAAAAAGCAGCTTGAGAGACTGAAGGCTCAGGGGACATTATCCTTTGTGCTCATTGGTGGTTCAGTTCCAACTGAATTTGCTCCTTTTTTTGTTGTTGTTTTGGTTCTCAGAGACATAAAACGCTGAATATGCTTTACAACCTCCAAGCAGGCAAACACTGGTTTGAAAGCTAAAGACCGTTTATGCGTCCAAAGGCTGCTTTATTTTTCAGTCATCCTGTGTCAAAATATGTTTAGAGCCAGAGATCAGGTTTAAGGCCACCACTAAAGCCATGTCCAGCATTCGTGTGTGTGCATGAGAAGGCTGTGGGTGAACGTGTGCGTCTGTGTGTGTGTCTGTGTGTGTGAGCGAGAGAGACAGCACAGGATGTCTATGCTCTTTTAATGGTCTACTAATCCCAAATGCATTTGGCTGACAAATTAATCCAAGCCTTGTCATGGCCAAGCTCTAAAGCTCCTTCCATCCCATGGACCCATCTCCATCTCTCCCTCGCCCTCTCTGCAGGCTTCACTCCATCAGCATTCATCTCCAGATGGTATCTTGGAGGTAGGTGTGAAGTGAGATAGAGGAGCAAGAGGCGGACCGGGGGGAGCCTCTTCATCGGAGCAGAGAGACACAGACAGAAAAAGAGGGCGAGAGAGAGAAAGACAGAGAGAGAGACAGAGAGAGAGAGAGAGAGGAGGGAGGGCGAGACATTTGTTGCCATAGTGAAAAAGTAGATTAACCACCACAAGCATGATGCTGTGAGGGATGCTGTGTTTCTCCGGGAGGATTCACCCCTGCAAGCAAAGGTATGTGACTCTAGCTTCTGCGTCCGGAGAGGTATTTTTTTTATTGATACGGCTGGACGATGGAAAAAAACATGAGCTTTTATTTGTCCACATCCAGCTGAATTCTTCTGAGGAGATGAATGCTCAAAAAGAGCAACAATATGCTTACTCAAATGACCCGTTTGTAACTCATCACATAAAAGGTGGAACAGTTAGGTCACTGAGAGACTGATCATTTGTGATGCTATTTTTAATCTTTCAAAACAGAAAAAAAAGTAATTTTAGCATGTTCATGAGAGCACTCTTTTCTTATAAAGGGTTAGATATATTAGGACAGTATATAGTGGAAAAGTTCAATGACATCAGATATTCATACTTCTGTTATTTCCCTCCTTGCAGAGTCTAAAATAAAGCCCTTGGTTTGTGGAGGCAGCAGTCAGAGTTTCCCTCATGCTGGTGAGGGGCGTGGGATGTTCTCATTAGCTCTGCATTGATTTTTTATCCTTAATGATTTAATCTCTGTGGCTCTTTTAGGCGAAATGAAGCTGTATAGGTTAATGGCTCTTTTGTGACTGCTATGAAAC